ATGGCTATTGCTATAGCTTTGCTTGGATTTAACGATCTTGGACGTTGGGCGACCCCTACTTTTCTTTCCAGAAACAGATTTTATTTACAATTATTTCCACATTGTCCAAAAATGAACAGCAAATCAATGTGGGAAGTTAAAAAAAATTTCAAGATTTCTGTCCACGGGACATCGAATCGAATTATGCCATCTTGCGGCTGCAAGGCGCGTGCAGCTGTGGTCGCTAAATGCGAACTTGTTCTTTAAGGAACCTCACCAGTTGACTAAATTCACTTAATAGGTCCACTTAAACAATATTTGGCAGAGAACATTTCACTTCAAAGATCTAATTGCGATACTTTTGGGCTTACAGACACTGTGGCCTTATTCGCTAACGAAGCCCGATTTTTCGGACTTAGGGTGTTCTTTCGGGCATGTTCTCTCCAAAACGAAGTCGGTGACCCCCCTTTTTTTCACGCTAAATCGCTTGGACATGAGACACCTCTAAGGGTTCACGGTAACCTTAAGTACACAAAAGAACTGATAATAACACAAATAGGTTCGTGTTATGATCGTGGAATGTATGAGGTGTGATGAAATCTCACACATTTAGAATAATGAACTGATATTTATATCATTCCATAGAAAATATTGCAAATTAGAACACAGGAAAGCAGTTGTGTACTCTACGATAAAGGCGACTGTCTATATACCAAGAAAATACAAGTGACGGGTGGGATATTCCATGCTATACCACTCCAAAGCGTTGCATAATTAGAATGTATCACGCACCTGACTTCCTGGAGAAGAGGTTTCTGGACCCCCGAGGCCATTCGCAGATGGCCGATCACGACAATATCTCATAAGAAATTGAAACGTTTTCCAGACTGGCTCCTTGAACTAGAAAGACAAAATGACGGTAAGATTTCGAGTAACTGGGTTTGAAAGCAAAGTCAGTAAATGACAATTTAACAATTAGATTTCGCTCTGGATTTCTATCGCGTGATGGTTACCACGAAATCGAGAGCGAATAACAATAGTCGTTCAAAACTTAACAACAATCCTCTTCACAGACACTTCGAAAACACAAAGAAACGGTCGCCATTTTGTTAACAACCGCACTGTGCTAGGCTACTCACTCCGGCTCCACAACAGAATGGGAAGTGAGTAGCGAAGCCAATAACAGAACGGCATTTGTGATAGGACGATAGTAGATTTGAAGTAGTCAACGTAACTGACAATTATTATAGTCATAAGATATGGCAAACTTGTTATTAAATTATTATATTCAGTAGATATTGAAAAGTTGTTTTTGCAAAATCAGGATATAAGAAGGGATAAGCCCGGTCACTTACTTTTCTAAAGAGACGCCTATGTTCAAACCTAGACTCCGAGTAAAAGCCCATCACCTTTGTGGCTGTCATCTGGATGCCCGAAATAAACACACAGTTTAATTTCTGTCCAAGGCAATGGAACAGGAGACTACGGAAGAAAAACTCTATGGCGCAGTCAAACTTTTTGGTTATCCAAGGAATGGTTTCCGCGTCTGTTAGCAGCAGAAATGCAGGCAGTTTGTCGCTAATGTAATCTTGCCATTCCTTTTCCCAGAAATTGTTGATCGAAGTGACAACGGTGAATGATGTGTTGTGCTTAAGATGAAGAATAAGAGCTTGGCGAGCTAGCAACATGGACGGTTGAGTCTTCCAGATGATCTCCATGTCTTTGAAAAAGACGATGTGAAAAACGCCGCCTATGTTGTCAAGGAAACAACCAATCAGACAATTGTGTCATAATGTATTGCATTCTACTTAAAGAAAACAAGAAACCTTGTCATCACTTTCAGTTACTACCATACCCAAATTCGCAATTAGCCAGTCACTGAAGCCGTACGTTCTGATGTCCTATGATATCAAGTCAGTGGCCAGATATGGCTACGATATTATTATCACGGTACGCTTCGGCGGCATATCAAGGTCGTTTGGTCTCGCCATGGGTATTTTGGCTCGATTAATCTCGCCGAAACATTAACCATGGCTCAAACAAACTCCTCTGATATGTGTACCAAAGAGGTACGATTAGGCATTAAGTAATATAACTACCCACTGAGCGAAGGAAACAAAAACTATACATATCGTTTCCTTCCAATTTTAACACTGCACAATTCAATTACCCATCCTAACACAGATAGATTAGCCACGGAGCTGTGCAAACGGCTTTGTCTGCAACCGCGGTCTAACCTTTGTCTGTGAAGTATTGTAAAAAGCGCTCCAATAGATAGGTGAGGTGCAGAAACTGTCCACCATGACGCCAATCAAGGCTCTCCTCTCCGAAAAGTTCCAAAAGCAAAGAATCACCATCAATCAGGAAAATCTCCGCATCCACAAAGTCTGACAGGATGTTTAAATGCCTAAAA